GTCACATGAGTGACACAGGTCCTGACCAGGGTATATGAGAGACTGTCTCAAACGGACAGCCACGGCGGACCTCAGGGACTGAGGCACGGCTGCAACACCGCACAGTAACGACTGGTGACACCAAATCGGCAGCAAACATCTCCCTACACTCCACCCCGGGCCACTGCGCTCGGCCCATATAAAAACAGACTACAGGACAACTCCCGGTGTGTTTTTTTAACATTAAGCGACAGTGACAAATAATATAATAGTATCTAATCTTCAGCTATGCAACAACCTGCGGTTACACGCCACGTGCTCCGCTTAATCTACATCCCATTCGATTCCGGACTCACCCATCCGGGTTACTCCGGTCAGACTTCGTACGCAGGCGGTTCTGACGTAACGGATTGGCGACCGCCAAGGCTACTCGGCAACACGAGCGGAACGCATTCCGTCTCCACACAGTGCCACTCTCTTGGTGACCGGTCGGCGACGCCACACCCCACTACGGTTTGTTTGTTTGTTAATTGGGGCTTTAGCACCCCACTACGGGTTACTGGACAGCGACACAGCAACACTCAGCAATATCTTTTACTCAAATACGGCGCCTTGTTCACTGTCCCGTGAACTGAATTCGGTAGAGCACAAGCTACCGGGTGTAGTGTAGTAAGAGTATTTGTTCGGTTCATGCATCGGAGACGGGGAGGATACCGCCTTCCCCTCTGCGATGCATGAAAGTCACTCACAAAACACCCTTAGTGAAATTCACCAGTGATAAGCCGAGAAACACCAGCAAGCTGACCGCATGCCGATCAAAACGGCGAACGAAAAGCGCTCAGAGTGGTGGGAACATTCATTATCCAATGTGTCGGTCGGACCTTCACCGGGGGGAGGGAGAGGGGGAGGGAATGGCGGGCGATAGCGAGAGACGACCTTTCGGAGGCCGCCACAGTCGCCGAGTGGGTGGAAACTGCGGTCAGCGGCCGCTGATAAGGGTTTGTAAGGGAGGATGTTACGTGGGCTAAAAACGGCGGCTGACTAGGGGAAGATCAGGGTCACTGGGTAACCGATAGGTATTATGTGCATACATCACCAGAAGCAATGGAATGGTGATCCTTTGATAATTTTGCTACCAAATTCAGATAAAGTGTTTCGAGAATGCGAGTACGGTGAATTGAATAGTTAACTCAAGGCCATACAGTTAACTGTTCAAAACGTACGCCTACCATCTGAGCAGCAAATTAAAACAAATCATGCCAATGTTTGGGCGTATATATAAACCCAATATCGACTAGCATGAGCAAGGAAACACGTCACGGCTACAATGCCAAGGACGAAGTGTTCGCCCTGAAAGCACTCACGTGTCCCTGGCAGCCACGCCCCCGTGGCCACACCACCATCAGTGCCAAAAATAACGGACCGGTTTCACGCATGCCCTGCGCGTCAAATCAACGCAAAATTTACCGTCCATTCAGTCGTGCATATGATCCGGAACGGGACGAGCCAAGACGAGAAGCCGCCGGCGGCGGTTACGCCGCAGCGAATCTGCTCGCCATCTCCTGAGGCGTGCCGGAGTAAGTAGCCGCGTCTACGAGCCGCAGCCGGGCAGGCTGGGAGGAAACGGTCGTACTACGCCAGGAATGACTGGAACGCCGCGCTGACGTGAGCCGCCGCTGCAGCCGGTATCTGCGGCTGTACGGTAGCGTTGGACCACGGAAACGCGACAGGAACGACAGGGGTTGAGGCAGAGAGCAGTGGGTTTGCTTGTCGTGTTCTAAGCCAATAACCAACAAAAGGTATACCTCAATACCTCAAAAGGTACCCCAATGGAAAACAACACAAAATGTTAAGCATTTCTATTGGACTGTTTGTTTCACTACAGTATAATTTGCAAATTTATATTCGCTTTATTTATCGTCGTCAGAAACGACGAGAAACTCAGCTAGACTACCGGGGGTAATTTTCAGCCGGCCCCCGTAGCTCAGTTGGTAGAGCGTTAGACTCCGCGTGGTGAGAGCACGCGTTCCCGGCTTTAACCCGGCAGTTGCTGGGATATTTCGCCACCCGCCGTTTGCTGGGGGGGGGGGGGGGGTTAAACGCCCCCAGCCGATAACTCGAGAACCGATAGGCGCAGCGAAACGCACGAGGCGGCAAACGAAAGAACACGACAAGACGCTTCAGATGAGTACTTTAAAGTTGAATTTTGAGGTCACAGGTCGGGTCAAGGTCAGGTCAAACACCTGAAATCGGGCTTTCAGTAGCATGGACTTCAGGGCTTCGCAATGGGCGCCTCTCGTCATAAACTCTGTCAAAACGGTGCACAATCCTTTATGTAAGGCCTACAAGAGCGGCAGCTCCATGTAGGGGTCAGTCAAGCATAGGTCAGGGTCAAGGTCAGGTCAACCGGGTAGGCACATATCCCCGAAAATCAAAACTGATATTCGCAGCCTGTGACACATGTTTTATGGGTAATTTTGGGCAGAACACGATGGTGACATTCATTTTATCATATGTGTACGTGTTTGGCTCAAAAAGTTCAATTTAAGAAATGCATGTATCATAGTTGTGAAGTAGTCACGAGAAATTGCCAAGATTCAGTTCAAGATTTTGGAAAATTCGGAACGATAATCAATAATCGAAGATAGCCATTTTATTGTTCATGGTATTGGCAGTCTAATGGCGCTTACGGCATGTCTGTATGTCTATTCTGTGATTTTATATGATTTTTTGAACATATGCCGTTTTTGGTCGAAAACTCAGAAATCATGACGTCACTAAAACCTCGATATCTCAAAAAATTTCCGACCGATTTTTTTGAAACTTTGTCACAATAAACGTCAATCAATTCACTACAGGTACCCAAATTTTGGCGCGCCTGGTGCGACGGAAAAAGTGGGGGCGTTTAGCTCCCCCCCCCTCCCCCCCCCCCCCCAGCAACTCGCGGGTTAACAGTCCGGGTTCGAAGCGCGATGGGCGCTTGACGTTTACGAGCCTCCTGACAGGTATGGTTGCGGTTGGTGGCAGACCGTAGCCAGGCAAAGTTAGTGAGGGGACCGACCGTGCGCGGCTATGTGCGCGCGTTAAACTTTGGACCCCAAATTCTGCCATAGAACCGGAATTGCGCGATCGGAGGGTAGAGGGCAGGGTCACCGTAACAAGCTTCGCTTAGCGGGGGCGCTGTCCTAGTGAATCCTTTCAATCAAAAGGTTCGTTAAAAAAGAAAAAGAAAGAAAACAAATTGCATTACATTCGCTAAATGGCTCAATTCACAGTCATGTGGCGTTTGCACTCTGTGGTCCCGATGGTAATTGATGAAAACGCGCGTGTTTACATGCCAAGCACGTCGCCCACAAAACCAACAAAACCTTTAAAGACGCCAGCGAACGGCTGATTGGATGACACCATAACCCTAACGGTGTGAAAATATCGTAAGCTGATTCGCGATGGACGAAAATGTATCAAACACTTTGACAGCCTTTGAATGGACAAAAATTGATGGGCAGACTGCATTCTGTTCATTGATTGATGATTGATTGATGTTCAATGTTCATTGATGGACATTCTGTGAAATCACATAAACATTTTCATCCGACCTGAGTCAAATATAATTAGTGGCTGCACAGTGCACACACACTGACATAATTGACACAAGAATGGCATAAGTGATCAGTATCCAGCAGCTGACAAGCATGACCATTGCTATTGGTGGAGTGATAGAGAGAGGGGGATGGCGGGGAGAGGGCGAGGGCGAGAGTCCGCCTGTCGGGGGCACTTGGCCCCCTCTGATGAGGGGGGGGATCGAAACCAGGAGCAAGGGGCCACGTCATGAGCATGGCCGATGAGGGGGATTCAAGATTTGTACGTACGGCCGATAGGAGGGCCAGAAAATCACCGCTCCGCCGCTTCAAACTGTCAAATGTGAGCAATTTATCGTGTACGTTCAACGCAGCTAATAGGTTGTGTTGAAAGAATCTGAGTTTGTTGCATTCTGCACTCTGCAGCATTCGCAAACGAGATGCGCTCGGCTCATGTAAGGGTTTAGCGGTGTCGCTCGGTGGTAAGAAGGGCGAGATGCGCATGGCTGATGGCAGGCCTTGAGGACCACCACTTTGCCGCGACCAAGGCGCTAAGTATAGTCAAATCCGCTGTGAATGACTTGCCTATCAGATTTGTTGTTCAATACAGCTAATGACCTATCGAGAAATAACGAAAATGCCTGCATGCCAATTGCCATAGTCCCACTTTCTGGGGCCGTTCATATTTCTTTTTTATAACTGGGGCCTTCACAAGTCGTCAAGCCATTAGGGTAACCATGGCACATCGCGCAATAATCACCCTGGATAAAGCGCCAGGGGCAGCTAACGCTAACGGATAGGGTTCATGTATTGGAGTGACATGCTTTTAATTCTAATCCTGCTGTGCAATTATTTCTTGTTCCGTTTTCATACCACTAAGAGGGCAGGCTTGTGACTCATATCGGTCAGAGCGGCTTTCAACTGGTCACTTGTGCGGGTTCGGTGGCCGGTGCGGATTTATTGTACCCTCAGCCAGCTTTAGTGCGGATATTCCGGCTCTGTTTGAAGGATTGGTGCGTATTTTGAACTTGGGCCGGTGCAACTCGTCGACCTGCCAGCCATGCTTTGCAGACTGGACCACCAGCACTGGCAGTCCGTTCTGACCAGCGCACACTCATTTCAACCCGAGCACACTGAATTATCAACATGATGTCAAAGCTCCAACAGTTTTTTTCGATTTTCATCTATCTCGTCAGGTTAGTCATGTCCATCACCAAGCCAATTCCACAATGCACTTTACTAAATTCGCACCACACCGCACCAAATCCGCACCAGCCGAACAAGACCGCACCAACGAGATCTCGTCGAAATTGCCATACTTTGCAGAATGGACTGACCCTGCCAGTCAGTGGTGCAGAGACAGAAGCACATCAGCAGAATGAGTTGACTTAATTAATGATCCCAACCCATACACTATCTCCCTATCCATGATTAGGTACTTACAAAACGGATGGTATGACGCCACGTCCCGCGAGATTCTTGGAGGTCCATTCAAGTCATGACAGGGGCCACCAAACCGCATCACAATATTCCAGGCTAAAATTAACACACTGAGAGTGCCTTGTGTTTTTGCTGATTCACTTAAAAACACAGTAACCACAATTAACTCATAAAATCACAATCACACCAATCCAACCTTCAACACATCAAGAAATTCTACAATCTACAATCTTTACGCAGTTTGCTCTGAGTTTGCCGCATAATGGTTATTGCCCATCACTATTTTATAAACAATTTTCCCCGCTCTACAAGGCGTTTATATTCCTTTCAAATAAAATAGCAAATTAAAAGTAAGATTAAACAAAGGAAAAATTTTGTACTTTGAAATGATTATAACACCAAAACTGAGAGTATTTTCATTATAGTGCCGGTACTATCTTGCTGAAGTGTATGTCCGTGAAGTTGGCTTCATATACGAATCTGAATCCAATGTCGGACACAAAATAACTTCATAAAGGAATGCAATACCACCATAAGCTTTTCATCACGCTTGCCTTCATCATGTTTGTCATCCTTGTCGATTTCATCTTCTGCGAAGCCTAGTGGATACTGGATATAGTGGATAAGGCGTCCGCTTGTAACCCGGTGGCCGCGAGTTCGCGGCTGGGGAGCTATACCTACGTCGTCCGCACCATACGTTGTGAAAGAGACGTCTGCAACACTGTGGCAACTGGCGAGAAAGGGCCAGGCTTAACTAGGGAGGACCGTGTTGCCATCTAGGTACCTACCTGCAAAACGTTACATTATCACCGGCCAACCGGACGCGGTCGGTCGGGTGCTCAAAACCAAGATTCCTTCTCAAAACGGCCTTATTGTAATGGTATGATTTCAACGAGAAAATTACGATCTTATTCCAATCCCCGGGCGGAGATGTAATTGCAGCTAAGTGCGTCAGACTCAGCACTCAGCCAAACCGCAGATATTGACCTGGGGCTGATTGATTGCGACCATTAATGGTAATGGTAATGGCACAGAAGTAATTACTTCTGTGATGAATCACACGATGCCTTGAGGTGGCTATAACATGTCCGTTCATTTAGAGGCATATTGATGGCTTGCATGAGAGGAATGCATTTTAGCATATTCTGCCATCCATTGCTACAAAAACTGAAAATGCAATTGCAGTCATGCATTCAAAGAAATGAAAAATACAAATCCATCATTGGGCTCCATCATGAACCGCTTCACCCAAGTTGTTGTAAGTTGTTGCAAGTTGCTGACAAAAGAGCCTTAGAATTGACTTTGACCTACCTGCTAATATTAAATGGTCACCTAACTTCTTATGGTAGCTACCTAAGTGTTTGGGTCTTCTGGCTCCATCCCATGTGAAAGTCTTATCCAAGATTCAAGTCTTATCATGCTGGTTGACTGCAGCCTGCAGTGCAATGTGTAGCTAATTGAACATATCAACAGTGTCAACAGTGCCTACATTTTCACAAATATAAAACAATGTGGATGGTGTAGCATTTCAAGTGTATTGATCAAGCAGAGGTTGAAGTGGAGGTGGCATTAACATTGAAGACCACACGACAGGTACAACTTGCAACTCAGAGATTGGTCAAATGGAATTATTTCTTCCTTCAATCTCATTGCGTGCTCATTTCAATTCTGCATTACCTACTTTCTTCATAATAGCTTCAAGTGTCCTGTCACAGCATCCAGGAGAGAGGCTGGTGCGGGTCCAACACTCATCACCATAACTGTTCCTGGGACAGTTTGAGTCAGTCCAGCATCAGAGATAATGGCTGTTAGCAGCCCTGCTTCTCTTGCCTTTTCCTCAATGTCATACAATGATTGTTCATCATCAACCTTCACAACAACTTTTGCCTGTCCAGATCTTTTCCAAGAACTGAGGTCACCAGGTGATTCATCAAGTGCTCTCTTGTAAGCAGCAAGAGTAGCATGAGAGCACTGTGCTGCTATCTTGCCTTTCCCCATCTTGAGATCCATTCTCACTACAAGGACAAGCTTTTGCTGTCCATGGCCAGCAACTCGAGGGAGAGTCCGAGATCCACAGGCTGCAGAAGTCTTTGATGCCCCTGCGAGTACCTGAGACACTCGCCCTTGCCTAAGAAGCCAGCAGAAAAATACACCACATCCAAATCCAGTAGCAAGGCTTGTTAAGTCCATTCTCCCTCACTTAACTGCAATCCTGGCATGGATTTTCAATTGGTAGTTTCTGACTGGTAAGACCACTTTGACTTGGCTTTGATTTCAAAATTCTGAGCACAAACTGTTGGCAAGGCGCAAACAAGTGTTATTCATTTAACATCACCACAAGATACTGGCAAGAGGTATCACATTATATTGATACCTGCCGGCAATCTTAAAAATTAATATTGATATTGCATATTTCAACCCCGTATCACACGTGTGTGCATCACAGGTCAAAGTGCAGCACATTCGTCAAACCCTCCCTTTTTTTGGCGCAGTTGCCTTGGTGCTGCCATATTTAAGCATTTTATTTACTCCTCATAATTCTGTTTTATCACTATATTTCAAATAAATGCTTCGAATCCTTACCTTTTATCAGAAAATATAGATGGTAGAAAGATGCATTTGGCTATTGGATGTTCGTATACTTTTGGTTTCAACGATGGAGACCGGCTCAAAAGTTCCATGTTCCGGTAAAATCGCTTCTCGGACATAGGTAGGTAAGCAAAAGTAATCTAGGGTAAGCATCGTCCTCGTGGCCTTGTGGTTGAATTTGAGATTTCGTACTACATACGTTGCATACGTAGAAAGGAAGACCATAAAAGGAGAAATTTTATTTATATGTGGGAATAGCTCTTATGTATTTATCGCCTATTTATCGCAGCCCCTATTTATCGAATCCGGGTTTGGTGCTAAGTCAGTGTTTTTAAGTTCTCAGCTGATAAGGGCTACCAAATTTATAGACAAATCTTACGCGTGTATGCGTCAGTCTACTTGTTGGGGTTGGGGGGTTTGTTTTAATGCGAATGGTGCACTCGTTCCCCGAATAAAAGGCATTTTTATGTGCACTGTTACTTCAGGGTGAACGTTCTCATCTTCTCATCAAAATTTGCAGATTTTCAGTAGATACTTCAACTCCAGGTAAGAGCATTTCAATGAAATCAAAATAGGCAAGTTTGTTGGACCAGGACGGAACCAGAGGCAACCTTTTTCTGGCAATATGCTGAAAGAAATATGAGTGATACAAATTGAAATAGTTAACATGCATTTTTGCTGATTAATTGATAGAAGTATGCTTATAGAAATCCACCTCTTGCTCTGACCTGTTAGTGCTATCCCTTTTAAGCATCAAATTGACATTGACATGTTGTTTTTTCCAGTAACATTGAAAGTGGCAGTTGGCTTGAGTGAAGTTAAGCCGCCTGCAGTCTGAGTTGATACCACCGTGGATCAGTTCCTGAAGGGTGTCGGGCGGCAGCTGTCTCAGCTGCTGCCCGGCAACAATGAGGTTGAGACGGGTGTCCGTGACCCGCAGCAGACCATGGAGATCATCAAAAAACCAAAGGTTGTTTAACAGAAGATACATTGGATTTGATTACCTAATGTATTTGCAATTGAAAATGCATCCATTCACTTATTCAAATTTCATGCAACAAATTGCTTATTAGCTTCCTATTTCACCATTCCAAACCTCTTGCATTTATTAATTTCTTTAATTTTACCATTGTCATGCATTTCCTTGCACTTCTCCCAAAGACAATTGTGTAAAATCTGGCTCAGGATTCTCATATGTCTGTCTCCCTCTCTTACCCCCTCTATCAACTGTTTCACTCACCCGCTTCTGTCTGTGGCAGGTGGAAAAGGTGAGGATGCTGGAGCGGTTTACTGCAGTGGAGCCCGCACCTGGCACCCTTTACCTGACCGCCACACATCTCATCTTTGTGGACCCACGCAACAAAAAGGAGACCTGGGTGAGTGCTGACTGCGGTGTGCAACTGCAGCCTAATGCCAAAGCAAACATGCGATGTGCATATTAATTAATACTTCACTCGCCCTTTGGGCCTATGGCTGCCTAATATGCTCATTGTTGTGTCTCATTTCATGATGCGGGCCCCTGAGTTCTGGCTGTACCCCTAAAGTCATTTCTGCTGAAACGCATCCGTGTCACCTGCACCGCCCACGCTGGCGAGGCGAGGGTCGTCGGCCCATCACTGAGAAACACATCGCTATTCTGGACGCGGTACCCAGAGATTATGCAGATCGGCCCATAGAGGCTGCGATATCGTAATGGTTCTGGAGGGAGGAGGTACACGTTGACAATGTCTACGATGATCCGGCAGAAAACCAGTTATTGGACGAGAAATGGAATTCCTAAAAATGAATTAGTGTTAAGAAAGCACCTAACCTGCATTTGTTGTAGTTTATCGTTGAAAGTTTCTTCCAGTGGTACATTTGCAATACCCAGATGGATGTGATTTTCGATTTATTTCGTTGTTAGGTAGGTAGTACTCCTCATCGCACGCCATAGTTAATTAATTACAATTCGTTGACTTCCACTGGGTCAGGTACCGCACGGATGACCGTCGCGCTCCGTTTCAGATATCGCACATGCACATAGCGTCGGTGGAGAAGCTCCCGCTGACGCCGGGCGGCTCGCCCCTGCTGGTCCGCTGCAAGAACTTCCGCTCGGCCACGTTTGTCATTCAGCGCGAGCCCGACTGTCACGACATTTACACGTCCCTGCTTCAGCTGTCGCAGCCCGGTATGTGACCTCAGCAGTCCTACAGCCCCCGCAGCCCGGCGAGTGACCGACTGTTTCCCCGCATGTAAACGGCGAACAGTGTTTTTTTTTTGTCTTTTGATCGTTCTGGGTGATGGTTGATCACTGGCCGAAAATGAATATACGCAGTCAAGTGGTGCTTGTACTTTACTTATTGATTCTACTAAGGTGTGCGTCATTGACCGCTAGTAAATACACGCAGTCAGGTGGTGCTTGCGCTTTATCTATGGATTCAAATGCATGCCTCTGGCTCAGCTATGTTGAACTAAAATAAAAATTTGTCCGCAGTCGTATCGAAATGTGTGTCGTGTATTCTCGTTAGCAATCAACAGGCCCAGTGATGCCCAGAGAGGCAAAGAAATTATGTTCTGTGCTCCCCTGTCTAATGAAATAGATGTTCTGGCTTCTCACTCCGCGCCGTTCCATTTTCCAGTGGAGCTGCAGGACCTGTACTGCTTCCAGTACACGCCCCGCAGTACCGAGCTGCGTCAGGAGGAGGGCTGGAACATCTACAACCTGCGTGACGACTTTCGGTGAGTGCCGGCTGACTGCCAGTAGACAGAGATGTCCGGCTCCCGTCCCGTCCGTCCTCCTAGAGCTGACAGATTAACGCCCGCCGCAGGCCCGGCCGGTTAGAGCTGAAGGTTAACGGGACCGGGAGACGAGTGTTTACGACGGCTGGAGTGGGCTGGAGGCGGCTGCAGAGCAGTCCAGACGGAAACGGTTTATGTGTGCGTGGGAGGGATGTAGGGACGGTGAGCGAGTTCGTGGAATAATTTGAGATTTGATGGTGCTCTGAAGTTGATGGTGAAGGTTGCTTTTAATTATTTTATGCCTGATAAAATAATTAAAGATATGATATAATAATATAATAATATAATCCCTATTCCCTGATAAAATAATCCCTACGAAGTTTAGCGCGGTTTAGACGTTCATTGGTTGACTTGAGATGTTACTTGCTCTCAAACTGCGATATTATGGGAGTGTGCTTGTGTTACCTAACATAGAACGTCAAGTTACGATCTTACAAAGCACACCATCCGATCGCATTGCCAACTACCATGAATGTTGCACGTATTACCCCTTCAAGATTACGGCAAAATTTCACCGGCCTACTATCGCTAATCGTAGCGTGATATGCTCGGAATCCTGATCTACGAAATTTTCGCGATGTATGAATATTGCATATATTTATAAAAGAAGCCCAGTCTAGCTGCACGCTCGACAAGTATTCGTCAATCGGCTGGAGTAAGTTACTGCTCAAAGTTTATCGTCTCCCCGCGTCCCGGCACGCTGTTCCCAGCGGGACCAGCCTCGGGCTACCGCCGCAGTATTGACCGTCACCTCACCCTCTGTGCGCCCGCCACCTAATGACAGTCTGGCGTGACATAGATTGGTCAGTTCTGTCTGCATTACCTCGCCCCGGCTTACACACAACTGGACATTCGACACCGGGACTATGGATAGTACTTGGTCACCGTGCTTCATCGCATGGCGCCAGTGGTTTAGTGTGTGTGAAATATGGTTAGATTAGGTAGCAAAGATGAGGGGACAGTAAGTAGCAAGGAGTTGCTAAAAAGGATGTACAATTCACTGTGCCCACGTTGTTATAATGTTATTTTGATCCTTACAGGACATCATATAACGAGCTATAAGACTCCCCTTGTACTCTGTCCACCAGGCGGATGGGCGTTCCGAACTCGGCCTGGACGCTGACGGACATTAACGAGTCGTACGAGGTGTGCGACACGTACCCGCCGCTGCTGGCGGTGCCGGCCGCCGCCTCCACGGCCGTACTGATCGGCTGCGCGCGGTTCCGCAGCAAGGGCCGCCTGCCCGTCCTCAGCTACCGGCACCACAATCAGGTGAGCTACAGACACCACACAGTAGCTCACAGTCAGGTGAGCTACAAGGACCACAGTCAGATGAGCTACAGACATAATCAGGTAAGCTAACGACACAATCAGGTGAGCTACAGGAGCGACGGCGAAGATGTGATGGGAAGGAAGGGAGGGGTGGGGCCCTGGGGGTCTAGGAGCACAATTTAAATTGCTGTTTACGAACAATTATTGTAGATCTTCATATGCGTTAAGAAACGAACACTTTTGACGTTTTCTTTTTCTTCTAGAACTTATGCATGAGTGTTTTTTTTTTGTGTGTGTTCAGATGAAGGGTTTGCTAAGAAATGATCCTGTGGTATGTTTTTTTTTGTGGCATTGATGACTTCGGATGTTCTTTATAGATTGTTGATTGGGTCTATCCCATATCCAGCTTTCGTTTGATTGAGGAGTACTTTGACGAGCACGCCATATTACGCTCAGTTGCAGCTACCTTGAAGCTTTACTCAGTGAAAAAAAGATGACATATTCTGCCCCTTGAGATATGGTAGCTGTTCCCTAATCCCTTCTAAGTGATATTGGGATAGGAGGGATTTGCTTGAGTGGAGTGCTTCTCCGCTGAGTAGATCTCGGAATATGCCGTAACGGCGATTGTATAAAGCCTTATACCCACCATACCCGCCACGGGCTCCCCCAATGCATAAGAAGGTCTAAGCGAGCAAATCGGTGGCTTTCACATTTCACATTTTCATGTGGCGTTTAGGTACCTGAATTTCTAATGATCCCCATTCTCGGTGATACTGATTGAACCAATAGTGAAGTCATGGACCTTTTACCGAAGTTTGCAGTAGTCTCAACAGGCTATGGTGAACGTAAGTAGCCTAGTTGCCAACTTTTCCATTACCACACGTGACCTGTTGAACAGTTGGCGTGGCGTATTTGGGTCTTTTGTCACTGTGTCGATGTGTCGAAGAGCTGCTGCAATCCTACCCAGCTGTAATTTATACCAGCTGTCTGTTTTTCGTGTCCTTTCGATCAATACTTTTGATCGATGGTACGCAGGCCAACGCACCAGAATTGTCCCCGTCTCCGTCTCACTGCCTCCGCCGTAGTCCGGCTAGGTTCGTGACGCGTGACCTGTGATAAAAACCGTCACGCTTTCGTGACACGTCCGGTACGGCTGGGTTCCGTCCCTCCAACCCGGAACAGAGGAGGCCGGCGGCAATTTACTGGCTTCCCGCTCGGTCTGAAATGTCGACCGCACGCCGCGGCTGCCTGAGAGAGGTCTGAAATAGCGTGTTACGGAGAACTGGGGCGAGCTCGCCGAGCAATGGTGGTGTGATTAACGAGTGAATAGAAGCGGTCGCGGCCGCTTTTTGGAGTCGTTAGAGGACGTTGTATGGTTGGTATGAGGAAATTACCGGGTGGCCCAGAAAAAACGTTCCCAATTTTAAATCAATATTTCTCAGAAAGTGATAAAGATACAACATTGAAACTTCCAATAGTTAATACGGCATATATTTTCAGCAAATGGTATGATTTTTATGTTATTCGGTCAATTACTTTTTAAACGGTTCGTGTTTCTAGCATGCCATGTAAAAATTACTTTTTTGCTCAGATGTTTACTAAAAATGTGAGTGAACGGGCCACTTCCATCTCGGCACCACGGCCTGCAGCCATGACTGCTACTGGCACCTAGCCTCATTGATGGTTCAGGCCTCGGGGTGACACACTCCCTCTAGCTTTTTTCTCCTTATTCGGTCGATTTACTATTTGATCTTCTTGAAGGGAGGGCGATCAGCAGTAGCCCATTCACTGTGTCGCTCCTTCTCTTCGAAACAGGACTTGTGTTGAAACGAATGACATCCATTAACGCAATTTTGGCTTAGAATTTGAATATTTGGCACATAAGTGGGACAAAAATATTTAAAATAACAGCACACGTGCTGGTATCATTCACGTGTTCTATTTTTCTATTTTTTTTCTAACATGATGCGTCTAAGCCAATCATTACTACCGTTCAACAACGGCAAAAAAAGCAAAAACGTCTTACCTAATTCAACATAAGATTGCTGGCTTGAAAATGATGGTACAGTGTTATAATTTGGCATACCAATGCGCAAAGAAGTGACGCAAACTTGATGAAAATTTCGGCTCGTTATTTGCACTCGAATTTGACATATAGGCCTCCAAAGTTCGGAACGTTTTTTTTGGGCCACCCGGTATATGCATGGTTTGAGCTCTCTTTCGGTTGTCAAATATGCGTCGTTTCGTATGTTCCGGTGAATGATATTAATAAGTAATAACCGTATCATCTCTGCCATTTTTTCTCACAACGAGGTTATTTTTATCTGATGAGCAAATGCCAACCGCACAATGCGGCACTTCACACACAGTTCAATATTCTCCCCGTCCCATCAGTACAATGCACAACGAGTCCTGCGCGCTGTGCTTACACGGGCTCCCCGAAGCGTGTTCCGCCTGTTACGCCTGTTCCGGACTGTTCTGACCAATGAGCCGTGCAGTCTCTGCAGGTTATGGCCTCTGACCTGACCCCCCCCCCCTCTCAGGCGAGCATCTGTCGGTGCAGCCAACCTCTGTCCGGCTTCAAGGCTCGCTGTCTGGAAGATGAACAGATGCTGGAATTGGTCCGTATGACCAATCCCTCCGACAAGCTCATGTATGTGGTGGACACTCGGCCCAAGGTGAGTTACCCCCCCCCCCCCCTACCGGGGACGATGGGTCGTCGGGAACGGTGGGGTCGGGTCAGGCGGGAGGGGTGGTACGGGGGAGGCGAGGCGAGGAATTTCGGTACTCTTGTGTGATGTCAGTTTTTTACCTAGGCGTGATATAATAGAGTTATGGCTCCCTAATTACAGCCCTATTCCATGGCTCTATTTATTTATGTTGCTGCTCCTTCGGAAACATACTCGCATATTAGCTTTGCCATGGGAGCAATCGGTGTGATTGCCGTCATGCTTACATCATATGGACGAAATAATTCTGCTTTGATGATACGTGATTCATTAATATCACCATCAAATGAAGAGTGAACAGTGAGCACACACCAAAACAGCACAGCACAGCGCTCGCTGTTGCTGACAGACTGATTCGGCTCGGTGAACTGATTTCTGAAGCTGTGTGGGCGGACGGTATGTTCGCGCTCAGTCTATTCCGGGCTGTGGAAAGGTCAGCTCTGCCGAGGGGCGGGGTTCCCAGTACTCCCAGCGGCTGCAGTGGTTTTAGTTCGACAGACGGACGCGCGGGCGTGAATCTATCAGCAGGCTGACTGGCGTGGAGGGCTTCACTGGACGGGCGGGGACGCTCGCTGCCAGACGGATGTGTCTGATATTAGATTATCAGTGGGCGGGTTAGATTATCATGTGTCTGTTAGATGCAGGCTAGGTGTGTTTATTGGATGCAAACACATACAACTCGCTAAATCCCGAACAGCTTATGACCACATGTTTCATGAATATTTCACAGATCAACGCTATGGCGAACCGAGCCTCAGGGAAAGGATACGAGAACGAGAGCTTCTACCAGAACATCAAGTTCCACTTCTTCGGCATTGAGAACATTCACGTTATGCGGCATAGTCTCAGCAAACTTGTGGAAAGTGAGTGCTTGTCACCGAAGTTTGTAAGCTATCGGGAGGCGGAAAGAATCCAAGTTTGATCGTCCTGTTGAGTTGATGCTGAGAAAGAGGCATAACACGTGTCTGTGCTGTTTCATAGGATAGAGTAAAAGTGTATCACATTGTTGATAAACTGCTAGTTTACTCCCACAGCTTTGATGTAGGTAGTTGTTAGAAAATAATTATTATGGTGTCTACCCTTTGCATAATTGGGTGCTGCTTAAATGTTACGTCCAGTTACTCATATTCATTCGGGGTAGGTACTGATGAGTTTCCGCGTAGGCCACTCGCTGATAATAATGCTGGTAACTAACCCTCTGACCCGCCCGTATATCACCCATGTCATGCCTCGCTGACCTGACCTCTCTCCCCTCCCCCTCACAGCCTGCGAGAGCAAGACGTCGGCGATGTCGTCGTTCCTCTCTGGCCTGGAGGCGAGCGGCTGGCTGCGGCACATTCGCACCACCCTGGAGGCAGCCCAGTTCGTGGCCTCATCGGTGGAGGCCGGCACCACGGTGCTGGTGCACTGCAGTGACGGCTGGGACCGCACCAGCCAGACGTGCGGCCTGGCAGAGCTGCTGCTCGACCCCTACTACCGGTCACTGCACGGGTTCCAGGTGAGAGGGAGAGCGAGAGGTGAATGGACGAGTTTGGTGGTAAGCAGGAAGGGAAGTCAAATTGTGTTAGGCTTACAGAAAATCGACTAAATTGCTAGCCTAGGAATTTGGTGTAGCCCATGATCCTGTTCCTGAGACGTCTGAGACGTCTGTTCCTAGTGGTTACCGTTTGGCGTTCAACGGATTGTGTGCGTTTAGTTTCCCGTGTGCTATGATTGTGTCGAGTTGTGGGCTTGGCAGTCTATACGAACGATTAGACAGGACACGCATTCTTCCTTTGGGTGTGACAGTGTATGACACATTTATTGTCAGCCTCAGGCAGGCTCTAAATGTCGCGTTCTTTTCCCTCCCCCTTCAGGCGCTGATCGAGAGAGTCTGGCTGGCTCACGGTCACAAGTTCACCGACCGGTGCGGATTCATCCAGCAGGACCCCAAGGAGATCTCACCCATCTTCACGCAATTTGTCGGTGAGTGCTGCCTTTCGCCATCTGTACGCAACGGTTTGTCGTTGAGTGTAGACCGCAGCTGCCGTCAGCCGATCCGCCTTTTTCACAAGGCTCTGTGAACTGTAAGCGGCCTGCGGTGGTAAGAGGAACGGGCAGCACCTTGTGAAGATGAATGCCCTGTCGTCGCCACCCTGGCCCGTGAGGAGTAGAGCCGTCTAATCCGCCGCGGATAACATATTGCATTCCGTGTTACTGGGTATGCTGGTTGGGTTGGGAGGGTAAAGGTGTACAGTGCTAGATTGCGTTACTGTCTGAGAAATGCGCTTCACGGCGGTTGGTCGGAGCTGAAAATTGATGACCTCCGGGTGGTAATATTCATGTCGTATTTTCCACACCCGATCTGCTATGCATTGCCGGTCTATTTCTGTGGCGGTGCGAGCTGGAATTCCCTTCGTCATTACTGGTGGTGTATGCAGCTTCGGGGCTTGACAGGATCTTGATACAAATTTGTTTTTGAGCGAGAACATTATGTGTGCATTTTTTTATCAGTGATGCACTTTGTCGCTGATTCTTCTCATTTCTTCCCCTCATTCTTTTTTTTTGTGACCACCACAATGGACCCATATGACCTCGGCTCGATAATGTGTGACCCCATGTGACCTCAAGGTAACCCCATATTGGCCCTAGCGTAACTCATGTGATATCGGCGTGACCCCATATGACTCTCGTGTGACCCTGTGTGTCCGGCAGAGGCGGTGTGGCAGCTGACCCAGCTGCAGCCCCAGGCGTTCCAGTTCAACGAGCGCTACCTGCTCACGCTGCACGACCATGTGTTCTCGTGTCAGTTCGGCACATTCATCGGAAACTGCCACAAGGATCGACAGGATCTCAGGTCAGCTGATTGATCGCACATGAGAACAGTGGTCATTGGTCAGGCGTTTCTGTCTTGAAGCGTTCGTTGGTCGTTAAGGTTTTGAGGTGGTGACTAACGGATGTGGCATGTTTCCTTTCAACCGGACGTGCTGTATTGAGCTCGAAGCTATCGAAGCTGACAGAGTTTCGAACCTGTAGCACAGTTTTGTTAGATGTTTAGTAACTTAATCTGTGCGTTGCATTGTTGGAAGCTGAGCTGGCTGCGGTACGTTGTGTGGGCCTCAGTAACTTCGTCGCCCGCTGTAATGCCTGTCTGTTTTAGTGTGCTCGCTCTTATCGCTATTAGCCCACAGTATCAGCCACTGGACGGAATAACGCCCACAATATCTCGCCTACTAGCTGACGCGACGCTCACCTTTCCTATGTGCCTACCACAGGCTGTCGGAGCGAACTTACTCCCCTTTGGGGGATAAATGGCGCCCCTACTCACCGTCCCTATTTATGTGTCTACCACAGGCTGTCGGAGCAGATTTACTCCCTGTGGGGACATGTGTCTATACCACAGGCTATCGGAGTAAACTGACTCCCTGTGGGGTTACATGGCGCCAGTACTCCCTGTGGGGTTACATGACGCCCCTACTCACTGTCCCTACCTGTCTACCACAGGCTGTCGGAGCGAACTTACTCCCTGTGGGGGTACATGGCGCACCACCGCAATGAGTACCTGAATCCGCTGTACGACCCCACCCTGCACCCGGGCTGCCTGAAGGTCAACCTGGCTCCACAGACTATACGGTTAGTAGAACAGGGAGGGGAAGGGGAAGGAGGGCTGGCTGAGGAGGCCAGGTGTTTGAGTTGATGGTAAGATAGTGAGCTATGCAGTCAGTTCATTTTTAACTAACGGGTACGTGGACAGTATGGATCCGTTTCTTACGTAAGGTGGTCTTCGTTTGCTTGCTTTGCTTTGCTGTGCTGTTCTGGGTATTTTCTTTCATTATACAATGCCTATACATACAATGATTATGCAATGATTATACAACCAACTTTGATTTTATATACAATGCCATAGCGCCACACCGTCTAAATAACGTGTTGACTTCCATACATTTTACAACTTACATCCACCTCAGCGAAGTTGTCCCATCTGTGTAAATAAGTATCGTCCCAGCTCTGTCTCACCCGTGTAGCTACCACCCCACCACACCCGCCCTTGTTTTCCCGCCAGGTTCTGGCGCGGGATGTACACGCGGTTCGAGTTCGGCGTCCACCCGCGGGACAGCCTGGCCGAGGTGACGGGATGCCTGTCCGACCACAACTCCTCACTGCGCGACCACATTCGGCTCATGGAGAAGGTCCGTACTCCGTACAGCAGTCGCTGACGGTATGGGGTCTATTTCGGTGTGTGGAATCTAATGAGGTGCACGGAGGATTTTGGGCTAAATAAGGTCGCTTGTGAATTTGTAAGGCTTTGTTAGATGCATGAGGTGTGGGGCGGACCTATTCTGAGGCATACAATTTACTTTGCACTAGACCTGACGCTAAACCAATCTTGCTAATTAAGCATGAAAAATGTGCACGACGACGTTTACAAATATTTAATTTAATTTAGAAGAGCTAGCACGATATTTACACGGTGACCTGTCACCCCTACCACCAATACAGACTCCACATTCCCAGTCCGCCATTGTTAAAGAGCGGCTGTTGCGCGCCACCTGTATCCCTATCCGTCTGAGTAACGCTGCCGGCATTACCGCCGTGCCGGGCCTCCCTCGGCCGGAGCGGCCGATCGATACCCACTGGGGACTCACTGGGGACCTCAGCGGCTCGTCGAGTCGGTGACGCTACCGGATATTGACGCCGTCAGCGCCCTCCGCCGTACTGTGGGTGGGAGATGCGTCTGAAAGGAGTGGTGGGTGGCACTAGTGCCTGTATGTCTGGTGTGCCAGCTGGCCAACCGCAGTGTTTTTCTTTCTTTTTTTTTGTTTCTTTTTGTATGTTTAGTTTTCAATCGCGAGTGAAGAATTATTTAGTTATTTTTGGATCATATTATTTCGGTAAAACTAGTTTGGTTTTGGTGCAATGCAGTTGATTATTATAAAGTGGAGCTCATGTTGGATTACGTCGACACGCTGTATTGCTGTAAATTGGTGTAATAGTTGACGGCCTACATCCCCTCTGCAGCGGATAGCGCAGCTGGAGAGCAGGCTCAACAACGCGGCCGACGGGGAGAACCACGGTGGCGCGGACAGTACCTCCGGCACGGAGAAACTGTCCGAGCGGCGACACATCCACGACCAGGTGAGGGCCGACAGCACCCCTGTCCCGTCCCGACAGCATCCCAGCTGTCATCTGTCCCGACTGTAACCCTGTCCTGACCCGACAACACCCCTGTCCTGACCCGACAAAAACCCCGCGCGGGGAAGCTGTCGGAATGGCGACACATCCACGACCAGGTGAGGGCCGACAGCACGTCCCCGGTCCTGCCCCGACGGCTGCACACCTGCCTTGTTCCGACAGCACCTCTGAGTTCTGACAGTACGGGAAACTGTGCGATCGGTGACACATAATTATACGCTGTAGATGTCGACTCATGGCTCAATGTGTTCGACTTAAGCCGGCTATATAGCGCGGCGTGGCTGTATTTCTTTTTGTCATCGGTCATGTAAATACATGCAGTATGCATGTCGTATAACTGCTGATTCTCCATAGCTGGTTTGTTTTGCAGCGAGGAAATAATGTGATTAACGCGTAGACGAGTATTTCTTTAATGCAAGTATGCTACACGCAAAGTCAAATATCGGGGTTTGGGACTTCGGTCAATAAATTGACACTCAACTGAGCTAACAGGTCATTCGCCACCCCTCCCCCTTCCCGTTCACCCTCCCCACCTAACACCTCCCGCTCCCTCCCGCCAGGTGAACGCCAACCTGCAGCTGCCGCCGCTGACGGCCGACCAGCTGACCAGGGAGCTCGACTCGGTAGCCATCGAGTGGGCCTCGCCCAGGGGTGTACGCGAGTGCAGCTGCACCACCGCCTTCGACCACTTCAGCAAAAAGGTGCGCGTGAGCCAGGACAGGTGCCGTGTGGGTTTAATGTGAATCCTGTTTGATTTAATTGAAGTAGAGGGAGGTTGTACCCCGAACCGACTATGAATGATGTACCATGTGGATGTTGAAATAACCAAGTAGCAAATGGGCCAGGGTGACTGACCCTCTTGCTTCGCAACGCGAAGAAGGGTTATTTTCGACCCGTGAGTGTTGGGTTGGTCCCGTGTCGATAGGATGCCTCTTCGCTGAGATGGAGCAGAATCCTTTCGTTCGTTTCGTTCATTTCCTTGTTAAATCCCAGCTCAGTAGGGATCTGCATCAAAATATAGCCAAAAATACTACGTAGATTCTCACGAGTGTTTTATATTATGCATTGAGATACAGGCGTTTGACTCCATCTAACCACTGCCGCTTATGCCGATTTCAGTTCCACTGCTGGCGATGCGGCGAGATCTTCTGCCAGCGGTGTCTGGACCGGTGTCTGAGGCTGCCGGGCCACCTGGGCGGCGACCCGGCGCCCGTGTGCCGGCCCTGCTACCGACTGCTGACCAGCTCCCAGTCGATCGACTCGCAGACCACCTGAGGACACGTCTACAACCCCTGGCGACTGCGGTCGGGCTCCGGTGCCGCGCGCGCCCGCATCAGACCGGCCGCCGCGCTCGACCCCTTCTACCGACCCGAGAGTGGCGACGAATTGTGAACGGTGAGCCCGGCCGGCGAGCCAACAGCTAGAAGGCAGAGCTAGAGCCAAACTGTAGAGCTAGAGCTTGCAGGTAGGCTACAGAATTGACCTGTGAGGTGGCTGGCTGGTTGGCTTGCTAGTTTGCTGATGAGCTGGTGAGCTGACGGATCAGTTCGGTAGCCGACCTACCGGTGACCTAGTGAACTAGCTGGCGAGCTGGTGGGCTAGCTAATCAGCTGGTGGGCAAGTCGACCAGTCTGGTGGGCTAGCTAGCCAGCTGGTGGGCTAGCGGGCCAGCTGGAGAGCTGCCGGAGTTGTTAGGTGAGCTGGCCGGACCCCCGACAGTCTTTCGTCGTTCACTCTCGGTTAGTGCGGTAGATGGAGTTTTTACGGCAGTCGGTCGGCGCCGGGTGACGCGACGCGCGCCAGTTTTGCCTTGTTTACGTGTTGCGCGGTTTGGTGTGTAAGAACTTTGTGAGGCGGCAGCGAAATTTTACCGAGGGATGACGCGGCTGCCGGCACCGGCTCTCTCCAGCCTCGCAGTAGCTGGGCGAGCCGGCGCCGTCCTGCGCCGGGACAGCGGTCGGCACGCTTTCCGTGTGGCTTCGTAACATTTGCGTTGCGGTGTACTACCGAAAAGCGTGGCGCTTGTTTAGTTTTCACGGGCACGCGTGCACCGGTTAGGTCTGAGTTGTTTACGCTGATGACGGCCCGTACGCTGGCCCTCGGACTAAGTCCGTGTCAGCACGGGCGGCGTCCGGCGCGGCGGCAGCGGCAGCGGTCGACCAGGGGTTGTGCGCGCACGTTCAGTCGGCGTCGCTGGAGAGAGGGAGGGAGAGGGAGGGAGGGGGCCGTCGGCCGCACCGGCCGGTCGGACGGCGAGCCTTTCCGTACGCCGTGTCGGCGACCACTGGTCGATTTCGGAGCTGTGAAACTTTCTCCAGTCACTGCGTTCTTGGTTCGTACTTTCGTTTAGTATTTCATCACTTCCCGTGGACTCACGGACAGGGAAAAGTATCTCAACGAGTGGCTAACTCCATATGCAATGGAGGAACGAAGCTCAACTTTTCTGTGCTCTCGGGGACTTTGCGACTATGCCAGGATGGTTTTCTTTAAAGGGCCTTCCGATCGGCCTGTCTTGCCCTGTGGGCTGTCCTCTGATATTTATATAGTGTTGTTAAGGCCTGCGGGCTACACGGGGCTACTTACGATTTTTGCGACCGTTTGTGACAGCCTCGTGGGCCTGCGCACGCTGTTGATAGTTATCCCTGGGGCATGTCTATTCCGGGGACTGTTGATGTTGCGTTTGTTTCGCCTGTTGCGCTCGAATCTCGCGTATCTTGCCGACGCGTGCATATTTTCTAGTCGGTGCGCTCGTCTGGGAGCGACTGCGGGCCCTCCGCCGCCGCCCAGCGCCCGAGGTTGCCGTGGAGCACGCACACGCCGCTCGGCCGTGGTGATTCGGTGTGGCGCTGGCCCTGGCCGGGGCTCCGTCTTACTGGGCACATAGTTCGGACGGTACTGGCGGGGCCGACTGCTGGGTAGTCTGGGCGAGGGCTGCCGGGGCGAGACTGTCCGGCCCGCGGCAGGAGAGGTGGCCAGACACGGGGCTGGCAGGTGCATGAGACGGATGGTGTCGCGCGGAGGTCTGCTGTCTACAGGGAAACCGGTCGAGTTTCCCACTGAGATGCCGTTGGGCCGCGCACCGAGAACTGATTCTATCCGAGGTGCGGCTAGCCCCGCTGTTCAGGACAGGGTGTGTGCGTATAGGCCGAATGTATCCAAATGCGAGCATGTTACCTTATGCTACCGGTCTAACGGCGGCGGAATGCGAGTTGACACGATCGGACGAATAAGGGAGCCTGGGAGCGCACAGCCGGTCTCTGCGCCGGTGACCACGGGCAGATGTTTTGTATCAGCTGTGATGGTGATATGGACGAGTTATCCATGGTACGCATTCCAAGTATATATGTCTATCTAGCTTACACACGAATGTGCTGTCGTGTCACGGCCTGTCAGTGTGTGCGCTGAAATACACGACTGTAGACCAAACAGGCGTGTTTAGGCTGGTGCTTCCCTTCCCACGAACTCAGCTGGTGTGCTCTAATAAGAGCATTAGAACTTCTTCTGTGCGATATGAGAACACCGGCATCCGGCGAGTACACTGCATGACGAGATTTGTGCATAATGACAGGCTTGCTGCTGCTATTACAATCAGCAACAGCAAATGCGCTCCGCGATGCCTAACAGCTTGACCATGCTTCACCTTATCATATCCGTCTGTACAGCCACATCAACTGGTCAGTTGGTCTCTTTGTGAGCAGCACACAACAAAGGACATTCCACATGCACGCGGACCTTGTGACAAAGCGAACGCATCAGTCTCCGTGCTTGCTGGACATTAGTAGCGTAAGACATCAGGGTTCAATAAAAGACAAAACGGTCAATGCTACACAAGTCATTGGCGGGGCACGAATTAGGGCCACCCAAATGACTCGGTTCAGCCATGGCTTCCAGTCGTCACGGCAACACAGGCAATACAATGTAAAAACCTAGCTAACCAAACAAGTGCATTAAAGCTCAGTCCGGCGGCTCTTCGCCTTCGCTCGATTCTGCGATCGCGGGGGCCGGAGCCGGCGCGACCGCGTGCGATTTTCGCCGCGGTTTAGTGCGATATAAGGAGGCACGTCTCTGTCCCTGGGCCGGGAGCTGCGGTGCAGCCGCTCCTTCGGCCGTTGAAGGGCTCGCCTCGGCAGCGTCGAGGTCTCGCAGCACGGAGGCGGCTCGCGACGGCCGACGCTGCTGGTCTATGCCCGGCAGCCCGCTCTTAGCCGGCGTCAGCGGCGGTTGACCAGTGTCGATGGCCTCTTGTCCCGGGGCGCCTTGAGCTTCCGGTTGACTTTCATGCTCAGCTTCATCTGGTTCGCTTTTGGGTGACGGCGTTTGTGACTTTTCCCTATAATCGTCTTCATCAGGTGCGCTTATCGTTATTTTTGGTTCCGACCACTTCGTTGGCATGCCATGAGAACTTGATGCGGTCGCTCCAGACGGATGGCGCACTGATGGGCTGGTTTGTTGAGACCGGCCGCCGGGAGGGAAGGATGAACGCTTTTGCAAGTCCCTATCTGCGACAGAACTTCCCCGTCGAATAACTTCGGACAAACTCTTGAACTGCTGCATCAATACTGCTTCCTCGTGTTGATGCGACACTGCGGCAATAGCCTCCGACATTAGAGCCAGACTAGACTTCCTTTGATGCATTCGAGGGAACTGAGGGCGAGGACGCCGGTGGTCACTGTCCGTTTTCTCTGTCGTAGACGGGGCAGCTTGGAACGCATCCCTCCTACGCTCATGCTTTTTCAAGTACGTCTGTGATATGGTCATTGGAATCGGTTCACCATACAGCTCGTGTCTGACTATAAAGTAGACGTCACGGATGTAAATGTCCGAGTTTAGGATAGGCGGCATTGCTGGGATGTAGGGGAGTTTCCCACAGAGCCATAGCAGTGCTGCAAATACCCAGTCAATCAGGGCTACAAAGGCAATACCAAGAATGAAACTGAGTGACCCAAACACCTCTGAGATGAAGTCACCCCAGCCGTATGCTGGTCTATTTCTGAATTCATCCATTTCATTGGACACGATAAAGATCAAGTTATGGCGTTGTTCGTTGCTGAAGATGGCCGGTTTGACAATACCCATAATCTTCACCAGGATATTCAGCTTCTCGCAGCCTTCTGTACATTCGATGTTGCAATCGCTGGTATTTCCTTGAAAAACACTCTGCACTGCATCACGGCTTCTGAGAAATTCTGAAAGATAAAAGGGTTACTTGAATGGCGCAAGTGAACAACATTCTTATCTAACAAATAACAACGATACCTATTTAACAACCAGCAAAAACATTTTCGTCGATCTAATCCATGAATGGATTGGACGATGTACATACCTATATGAAGCTGAGCTCCCAGTGGCCTAAAGTCACCCACTCAATTTTCCAACATACCTAACTCTTCCAGGGTCGGAAAAGGAATTCTGCGCCAATTTTGGAAAAAAAAAACTTTCGAGTGCTGTCAGATCAGAGAAGCTGTTTGTTAAGAATCCAATCTAAAATTGCATAAATTTCCTCGGCCCTAAGACTGGAAGCTGTTTCACATACAGCTTCACATACGAGCAATACAATGCAACTATGCGATGGAAACAAAATGTCGAGGCTGGGAGATTATCTGAGGGACAGCATGTTGTATTTTGAAGATAGTAAAATCGAGATATAACTTGCGTCCTTTTCAAATGTCTGGATTTCTCTATTCGATCGTGCAGTGCAGTTTGCATTACGCATGGGGAGCTCAGTGCAACAGCTTACCTTCGGATGTGTTGCAAAATGGTTTATTGATCAAACCACGTGTAGAGTTTCGGTCCATCCACGGCATCAGACAAGTGAGGTTTTGATGGGTAACCACCTTCTTAAGGATGCATGCTTCCATGCATTCGACATGGGAACCAGGCGAGGTGCTCCTGTCGTAGCTCTTGCAGTTTTCTAACCGCTCATTCTTAATGGTTTTCTCGACTGCAAAAAAATGCACGGTGTTAAAAATACACAACACTTAATCAGACCTTAGGTGGCGCGACAGGGAGGCTGAGGATTCATTTAGTTCCCCGACCAATGTATAGCTCAAATCCCTGAAAAATTGCAGCTATTGATCAAACCATACAAATCAATTACTTTTTGCGATTTAGGCTTCTATTCTCAAGACTAGATCATGATCAAAAGATGGATCGAAAACATCTTCTGAACATGCAATTATTTTTTGGTGTGGGTGTGGGGGGCTTTTGACGAACGGCACCCGGGCCGACGCCGACAACTTCGTATCGGGGTAACTTTGTCAACAAGATGGTCCCACAGTCGCAGCGGCCTATCCATGCATATTGAGATGAGTCCGTTTTTGTACTACGTAATACACGCACGCTTAAGTGAAATAACTTATCTTTTACACGTGATTTTTTTTTATATTATTTAAGCTCAATTACCAATGCTAGTCGTGTTCAAGATCATTTAAAAGTCATAGTCGCCTAAGTAAATATCCTCTGACGTGAGAAGCTAGGTGGTCCCATTCCTCAATGCGGTGAGGGACCTGCAGTTGTACGGCTTGGGGCTGCATCACAAACACTTGGGCTGCACGGCTGTATCACCAACATAAGCCGTTGATCTTCAAAATAAGTTGGCTACACTATCAAGGCTAAGGCTTCGCTGGTGTCTAAGGCTGCCTTGAGACTCGGACAAGTGTTGAAATATTATGACCTTTGCTGGACTCATTGAGGACGGCGTCGGTCATTGTGGGCCTCCCGGTCTCCCGTAACCCAGCGCGGACACTTACAGACGGCAGTCGTAAGGCGAGAGTAGGAAGGTCCCTTATCCAGTCAGCGTGCACCCTGATCCGAGCATGTCGCGGGAGCATCACGAATTATAATGAGCACAAGCACCAAGTTTCTACCCTTTCATTGAAGGCCCCTTTCAGATCAGAAGCAACCCTGAGGCCAGAACAAACCCTTAGGTGCCAAAAAGACCATCTTAATAACCATGAGCTTCAAGTTGGATGATATTACTGACATAAATTTTACGTCATAATTCATAACCGTTATTTAATGTCCATCATTGAGTTCCGGGAAGTGCTTGATTGCATAAACTGGCACCTTGAATGATGGTTTCAGAATCCCAACGGATTTATTCGTTCGGATTTTACGAAAAGGAACCACCCACCTGTTGAGGAACTACTGCCCGGAGCCCCTCCTCCTCACTTTAGCGCCTGCCCTGCAGCGTTTCCTGTCATTTGCTGATTATTTTGACCTTGACGCTAGAACGCAGGCCCAAAATTGGAATATATGATTTTCCAAGTCCGCAGCCTTGCAACTACTCACAACCCGTGGGCAAGAGAACTCACTTCTTCGAATGTGGAGTATGCTGGTAGTGTCCAGTGGGATTCGGTATGGCTGAATCAATGTTGCACCGGGGATGTCGCTGAATGTGCGATTTTCGTTCACAAACACCAGCAGGTAGGAAAATTCCACCCTGAAACAAAAGCAAACGATGCATGATCATGACGCCGAGTTGCTCAGCCGAGTTGAAAAAAAAAACATGAAAAGCCGTTGTCGATTCGGGGTTTCAAACTCAACCCGTCCGGATTTTACATCCACAGCGGAACACCCCGTTTTTATCCGGCTAGTAAGGTGCCGCGCAATGCTTTGAAAAGGCAAGTCACCTATCCGACGATGGTTAAAAAAAAAAGCGCGCGAGATGCCGGGCTGAAGTGGGTCGTGCATGCGTTTTGCGCTCGCCCGTACTTACCCGCGAGAGGCGCACGAATTTTTCCCCGCTCGGAATTGATTTAATGAGCCAACCGGCGTATTCTTACCTGTTAAAAGTCATCTGAAGCTGATATCTCTGGTTCAACTTTTTTCCTTTTTCGCTGTCTGCTAGGGTGTAACTGGTGCATTTCATTCCAAAACGTGTTATAAATGCATTGTTCACGATAACTTTTTGGGCGGGCTTATTCAGGTTAATGTTGTCAACAGAAGTAAAGTCACTTGTAAAAAATTCTTCCATATCTCGGGATACATCTTTTAGATATTGCGACAGCGTGGAGTTGTCTTGCTTCAAAATATCAATGTTCTTGTAAATTTCATCGTAAGAATCGACATCACCTTCTCTGTCAAGCTCAAGCATTTTTAGTGAGAGAAAAGTTCTAAACCAGGTATAGACTTCTAGAAGATCGTTGGGATAATCGGATGTGAAAAGCTTCCCTGCGAAGGTCATGCATTCTGTATGTAGTGCCAGCGAATGTATCTTTTCTTCTACAGGTTCATCTTCGTGTGAGTATTTGCTAGCGTACAAACACTTCATTGCTCTGATATAATTCTTGGAAAAGTCATGTGAGTTGAGCGAAGTGGTATCAAGTTTTCTTAGATAATTCGCTCTTTTCGTGTGAGCTTTGAAGTCCAATGTTTGAATCGGGTCAAACGGTGCTACTGGGCAAACTGTTATTTGCAAGTTTTCCTTGCTCACTGAACTGGTCGCCTTGAATTCCTGCAACGAGATTACGACATCAGTTATATTAGTTTGAAACCAAGTTACAGGACCGATAACAATCGGTGAATAACATCAAATCAATTCATCGTCATTACACTATCTAATCTAATCGATGAATTATGTCGAATTAGTTCATCATCTCATAACTACTTGCATAACTAATCTTTATGGTTGCGTTGGTTTTATTGTGTTTTACCGAACAATTACAATACTTACTTGTAATATCACATCAGAATCAAGGCGATTCGCCGAAACGATTAGGAAGTAACAACAACCAACGAAGCACGCCATAATTGCCATGGTGCGAGGTATCTTCTTGAGAATGTAGTTGCAAAAGCGTCTGATGTTTGCTTCACCTGAAAGCAAAGGGTTCTTTACGAAAACGTAACGTAATTTTTACATTGAATTTGATCATCAAAGCTGTTAAACCTAGGCAACATTATGCTGTGTAATGTGTATACCTATCTCTATTGTGACCAGAAATCAGTTTTCGGTGTGTTTGTGCGGAAAAAGAGCAAAATTATGTGTATTATTTGAATCTACTATCTGTCTGGATACAATTCAAAACGCTAGCATTCCTACTTTTGTTAGGTACATTATTTTTTTTAAATAAATGATTTAAGTCCATCTAATGACAGTTATGACTAATCAACAGAGAGCACTTGAAATATTTGAGTGTTCAAGCGAAGCAATTAGGCATTCGCTTGATTTATTTAGTTCATGGAAAAGTACGTTGCGAAACAATGAAGGCGGCTAAAGTTATGATAAGGCTCATCTTCGTGTGCGTTAGTACTTATTTTAATTGCAAGTTTCATATGACCTCACTTGATAACTTTGAGGTTTCACTTACTGCTTTCTGTGGCAGTTTTATATGTATCCGACTCTTCAGGTATTACAGCATTCTTCACTGTCGAGCTTGACATCATGTGAAAACCGTTGAGTTTGAATCGCTAAACACATAACTTCATCATGTTTCCATAATGCCCGTATAATATCACTATGAAAGCAATTTGTGCAACATTTTAAGACCTTGAATCAAATGGTATGCCCACACATGTTTTATGTTCGACTAATTTAGTTTAAAACCGCCATTAAGAAGCTACTATCTTCGGTTTTAATTTTGTCACAGGTACGTCGTTATAGGTGACAACAATTTTCACCAGACAGCACAAATTACTTAACGCACACGCCTTAAATAGAAGCTCAACCTCAATTTTGCAAAAGCAAGATATGTTCATAGTGCATTTGTACGGGAGCATTGAAATCGGGTTCAATATTTTGGCGATAGATGAATTGTTAGGAGACAAAGGAGACACTAGCTTTGATCAAAACTTGAAATAAAATGAAATACAAAATCAGTACCAGGAAAACCCCATAACAGGCAAGGGCGGCGCCACCGTGGGGGCAGTGGGGGCAGACTGCCCCCACTGGCAGGAGGCCGTGGGGGCAAGACTATGTTTTTGCCCCCACAAAATTTGGCTGATGTATGGGAACAGAAGACCGGTGCAACATTCATTATAGGCGGTTATAATAGTACGCCTGTTTTTGACGGTCCTCGTATCAAGTGCGTCAGCAGAACGTTCGTTCTCGGACCGTCTGTCGCATTTCTCCTACTCCCACTCATTCTCCTACTCATTTTCATTCACCAAAAGGCTGCCCTCAAGCTTAGTCTCGAGGAGGTTGAGAAGCAGTTTATCAAAAGTCGGCCAGAGAAGAGATCACCCTCTTTTGGGAACCCTTAGACTGAGACTGAGCTCAGAGAGGTATGACTAAATGTGATAGGTATGTATATCCCGGGTTATCTGGAACTGTATGTGGGTCGCCCTAATGGAGCTTATTCTCGTACCTATATCAATCGTATGTGAGAGAATCGCACATATACACGTACTACGGGGAAAAGGAGAAATAGGTACTGACTATAGTTTTGAGGAACACACCATTTTACATCTCAACGAATAACATAACGTTTTCACAGGTTTGTGTCTCGCTATCTATAGTTTTATACCTAGTTTTATTTCGGCCGGGCCCGGGTGTAATCCTAACCACCGCAGCCCGGGGGTAGCCCTCCTCCCCTGTTTAACTCCGTTAGGGGAAGCCGGGGGAAGCCCGGGCGCGGGGGAAGCCCGGCCACCCCGTTTCCGGCTAAATTATTCACAATAAAATGCTCAACTGTTTGTCCTATCAGCGTTAGGGTGGCACTTAAAAATCAATTTTTGATTTTTAATGCGTGCGGGTGGTTTTCCGGTTCCATTCCCGTAAAAAATAAGGGAGGCAAATTTTTATGGGAAAATATTGATGTTTAGAGGTCGCGAATCAAGGTCAAAATTGAGATTTTGGTAGCATATTTCAATATCATTAAAATCGCTTCTGAGTTTCCTATTACGCTATAATCGGATGATAATAAGGCATTTCTTAGTCATTTTCATATTGTTTATTGATATTCCATGCAGCTTCGGCCACGCCAGAACGCTGGTCTATGTACTCCACTACTCCAGTTCCTCCTCTTTAGTAGATTATTGGCGCCTCATTGGAGGGAGGGGCATCATGGGCAACGGGCACCCAGATCACTTTGTATGTAGCCTGGTTAGCAATTGCAGTCGATCTTCGGGTGTCAGGTTAGCGTTTTCTGTGATCTTTTTAACGACATGGAGGAAGAACTGGCGCTAATCTTTGTCTTTCATGAGTGCCAGTCCAACATCAGCGCCATATCGCGCCTGGTGAAGTCATTCACCACCCGCAGCTCCCGGACTACACGAGCTGCGGTTTGGTAGCTGCTGTCCTCCCAGTGGCCTTGGTCATTGATGATGAGCCCCGCGTCCAGGTCGTGTATCCTTGAGAGCTTTTTGAACGATGGTGTGAGGAAGCTCGCCAACGTCTCGGTCGCGAGAGCGGCGTTCATAGTGCCCACTAAGGACTTATGGGGCGGGTCCCCTCTCCTACAAGTCTATATTGCCCGCACCATGTCTTGATTGAGCCCGAGGGTCGGGGTCTAAAAGCTCCAGAGTCACCAGCCGATCCCTCAATTACTACAGGTGACGGCCGAAGACCGAGACTGTCGTCTTCGACAGCTCCTTGTCGGGGTAGGTGCAGAACGAGTTCACGAAGGTCAGGTCCAGAGCCGGCGCAGTGGCAGTAGAGTCCCAGACCAGGCGGCGGCGGCGGCGGCGAACTTGCAGGCAACGAACAGCGCACAGCGTGTGATGACCTGGGCCTCGGCCGCCGTCAGCCGGAGCCGCTCCCTGAAGAGGAAGGCACCCACGGTACGGATGGTCTTTGCCATCCACCTAACTCAGTGGAGTACTCTGAGGCGGAGAAACGGATGCCGTGCTTGGAACTCCACCGAGAGCAGTTACGCAGAGCTCCAGAAGTTTTCGGTAGTCTTCCCGGAGCTAGGCATAGTCCAGCGATGGAAGCGATGGAAGCTGACCAGCAGCTTGTCCCACTCCGGAACGGCGTCGACGGCGAACGCCACCGGTGTGATCCTGTCAATGAAGCATGAACTCCCACCCGCCTTTGAACCTCTTAAACAGCCGGATGTAGAGGCCGCTCGAGATTCTACGGCAGGTGGAGAAGGCCTTCTCTAGGACCAGCTCTTACACGTGGTGCCGGCAGGCCGGCCAGCTGGAGGACGGGCCGATCCAGCTTCTGCTCGATAAGGGCTAAAGTACCGTTCACCAGCATGCTGTTCGGCGTCGTGGCGTCGAAGCAAAAGGCCGCAGTTCCGCTTCTCCAGTTCCTAGCCCCCCAGCGCTGTGAGCATGGCCTCCTGTGCTTGGATGGAGGGGAGTTTGGGAACGGCGAGGAGCTTGGCCACCCTAATCCCCCCCCCCCCTCATCACCAGGACCTAGAATCGGTCGACGCTCCTTCTCTCGCGGTTCAGCCGGAGTCGTATCAGAAGTTCCGTGCCGCAGTTGATAACAGGTTCACGTGTTCTTCACATATTACGGTTGGGCAGTTTGGCCCGGTCGAGGCCAGTTCACTGTTGGGGACGTCCGCTCGCCCGCATGCGCTTGGGAGTGTGAGTCGACGTTTCTCTCTCATGGTCGCCATCGTCAAAGACGTTCCCTCCGTGTGCGCGCCGCAACGGCCGGGTAAGTCTGTTGCTGGCACTGGCACTATGTAGAGTCGGAAGAAGCGCCCACGGAAGAACATCCCGAAAGCACAATAAACCAGTGCAGCTCAATGCCCACTCTCGCCTCTGCTTTCCCCCGCCGGCGATAGGCTGACTCCAACTTCTTCACATTCTCTTTGACAGAAAAGGAGCATGTCTCAAGAACCGATAGAACTGTGGGGCTCGTCCTCCCTTTGGAACAGGAGAGACCGTTCACTCCTCACACTTATAAGAGGATATGACCTCCACTGTGAGAAGGCACCGGTCGCAGGCCAAAAACAGGCCTGACATGGGTAAAACAGCCCAGATCAGACCTGTCTTGGCCTGACCTGATCGACCGGAAGTGATGGGATAAGCAATTGTTATACAAATAAAGGTCAAAATACGTCGGATATGACGCTTAATGACCACATATGCCATTCCAAACAGGTTTAAAGTAGTTTCCAAAAAGTTGATTTTTTCCCCAAAACTGCCAACTTTGACCTCAATTCGCGACCCCTAAATATCAATATTTTTCAAAATCATTTTGCACACATTATTTTTTACGGGAATGGAACCAGAAAACTACCCGCACGCCTAAAAATCGGATAACATAGAATTCACCCTATTGCTAAGTGCCACCCTAATCAGCGTGGCAGCTAAGGTAACGCCAGCAAAAAAGTTAAGGCTGACAAAAGTTGCATATTGTTAAAGTTATAGCGCAAAAATGATATTTTAAGGGTTTTTAGCTAAAAAGTGAGATATGTTGCACTGTTAATGTTATACCATACAGTACTAATATTTATACGAATGTTACGTAAGGACCGTTTAAGTGTTTGTAGTGAGGGGTGACGAGGCAGGCTGGCTTAAGTATGACATTTTTTTCGAATATCGCTGTTCTAAAATAAAAATTAGCCACTCGCCCACCCCGGGCGAGTGGCCAAGCTTACCCCCAACCGAGAGCAATGCCACTAAACCACTGTTTTCCATGAGATAATAGGTACTGAGCAGGTTTGGTTTACACCTAGATCAAAGATAAATTTCAAAATAAACATGTTATCATAGACAAAGCCAGTCATGTCACTTAAGGTCAACTAGGGTCAAACTACGTTTTTGCAGATAACGCGACAGACAATGAAGCTAGAGCTTCAAAAATGGTGTCGTTGTGTTCTTCTTCATCAGCCGAGTCGAATGATATGCAATATGATGCATTATGGTAAAAAGAAAAATAAATTTTAAGGAATTTTGAAATACACATTTTTTGTCAATTTTGCATCACGATTTTCATCGACCTGTTCTGTATATGTAGTAGACTCTAGCTAAAATACCAGTAGTGACATAAACTCTAAGATGTCCAGAGCTAATCAGTAGCTTAATATTTCACTTTCCGTTAATATTTGGAAAACACATAATGGTTTCATCAACTCGTTGTAAAGCGCTGGGAGGTGGCCCTATGCCGGGCTTACCCCAGAAAAATCAACACTTTTTTAAAACTCGATTTTCTCAACCTTATACTTATTCCACGAAACCGAATTTTTGGGAAAACACGGCCAATGAACTTAGCTAGCTAGCAGGATATCAACATTTTATACAGCACGTACCTATGGTATGTAATAAAAATGAAAAAGAGCTTACTATGCCGGGCTTCCCCCGGCTTCCCCTAATAAAGCAGCTACGGTAACAAAAATGGTACCAAACGAAAAGTTTCTATGAGAAGATTCTAAAGCACCTAAACTTTTTGACCTCAGGTCAGTTTTCAAGGTCAGATTTCAAGGTCAAAGGCAAAAACCGACATTTTTGTAGTGGTCTCAAAGTACGTGTTCCAGAGGACGGCATGGTGCATAAAATCGGCTAAAAGGGATGTTGAACAAAAGAAGAGAATCCGTGGATTCCGATGATGTGCATAACATTCAAATTCAAGGTCACGATCAAGCTCAAAATTGACCACAAACTTTGCACTTTTTCTTATATCTTGTATACTAAGTTCCGAGATGTTTTGATATGATATCAAGCTTAGCGGACCCCTATTTGTGCTTTAGCTTACGATACAAGGCTGCTACAAGGTCAAAATCACAAGAGAGTATCCTTGCTAGAGGCTATTTCACTATTCAAGTCAGGCATAATAATTAAGACATGTTTTGCCATACTGAGGCTCTAAATGAATGCTTACAGCAAAATGGATGCCAGAGGCCCAGAATCGTGATCAGCGGCTACGAAATCATCACAAATGACCTTCCATGTGTAAAAAACCAACCAGATGTCATTCGAGGTCACATGAGGTCAACATAAAACTTGACCTTTTCCAAACAATATATATGTCATTCGACGCGTCTCGACAAGACTAATGCAAATGTACCACTGCCGTAGCTCCGGGACCCGTTTTGTTGAAGTTATTTGCGAAAAAAAAAACTAAAGCCCCAGCTCGGGGTCGTTGCCCTGACCTCTAACCTCAGGTCACTAAAGTTACTTAAGTATTTTTTCTACGTCAAATGCTACGCAACCGTGCTCGTAATTTGTCTTTATCTCTAAAACTCAATTTTTGGCAGCTGGTTGAAGTTCACGTCTGTGACGCCGAAGTTTGCCGTGCAGGAGTCTAGAAAAATCGGCCCTGAGACGTTATCAAGGAGGCTAGGTCCAAGGTTTTTGCTTCAAAAGATGTCAAATTAATGGGGGATAAGGTACAGCAAGTTTCGTCTTTCTATCCCTAAGCGTTCGTGAGGTATCGCAAATATTCGCCAGGGGGAGGCGAAAAACGCCCCCCCCCCCCTCTTCCGGGCCCGCGAGGGTTAATGGTTAAACTCAATACGCCTATGCATAAAACCTGAAACCATAATAATTTTGAATGACAATATCTAGGGACAAGGTGCTCATGGATTTTGCAGATCGGCGTTATCAGACAACAGTCCGGTCAGTCTCAAGCTTGCCCCCACTGGCGAAAATTCGTGGCGCCGCCACTGATAACAGCATTACTTTTTGCATGAAGTCCTAGCAGGTCCTGTTTTTCCTGACCTTTGTGTCACTGACCTGGCACCTGGAAGGTCAACCAATGAACTTAAAACTAGGCATCATTGCTTTCTTTCGTTATGGGCAGCACGCTCGTTCTTTTTCCCGCGAAGCTCTAGCTTGATCAGGGGCCAAACATCTTGGTAGGGGATCCGATGGATCCCCCTCTACATATACGTTAGCGGCTGAGAAAATGCCGATACGGGCGAGAGCTAATATTCTCTCCACCTGAAAGGTCAATGTTAAACCATACGAACACTAGATCCCTGCAAGTGTATGCATGCTGATATAATGTATGATGATGAGCTTGGTGCTGGTAATACAACCAGTTACATCAAATGCGCTCCGCGATGCCTAACAGCTTCACTGAATCACATCCGTCTGTAAAGCCCCAGCAAAGTCAATTGGTTTGCTTCTGAGTAGCACACAACATAACACATTCCGTCTGCACTTGTAACCATGTGACATAAGCGAGCGCATCGGCTTCCGTGTCTGCTGGACATAAGTAGCATATGACATCAAGGTTCAGTAAAAGACAAAACGGTCAATGCTTCAAGTCACTGGCAGGGCACGAAGAATGGACACCCAAATGACTCGGCTCGGTCATGGTTTTCCAGTCGTCACGACAACACAGGCAACACAATGTAAAAACCTAGATAACCGAATAGGTACACTAAAGCTTAGTCCGGCGGTTCTTCGCCTTCGCTCGATTCTGCGATCGATGGGACCGGAGCCGGCGCGACCGCGTGCGATTTTCGCCGCGGTTTAGTGCGATATAGGGAGGCACGTCTCTGTCCCTGGGCCGGGGGCTGCGGTGCAGCCGCTCCTTCGGCTGTTGAAGGGCTCGCCTCGGCGGCGTCCAGGTCTCGCATTACAGAGGCGGCTCGCGACGGCCGACGCTGCTGGTCTATGCCCGGCAGCCCGCTCTTAGCCGGCGTCAGCGGCGGTTGACCAGTGTCGATGGCCTCTTGTCCCGGGGCGCCTTGATCTGCCGATTGTCTTCCTTGCTCGACGTCATTTGCTGGGCTCTCAGATGACGACGTTTGTGACCTTTGTCGAACATCATCTTCGTCAGGTGCGCTTATCGTTATTTTTGGCTCTGACCACATCGTTGGCATGCCATGAGAACTTGATGCGGTCGCTCCTGATGGATGGCGCATTGATGCGCTGGTTTGTTGAGACACACGGTCTCCAGGGAAGGACGAGCGACGCCTCTGCAAACTCCTATCTGCTACAGTGCTTCCCCGTCGAATAATATCGGACAAGCTCTTAAACTGCTGCATCAATATTTCTTCTTCGTGTTGTTGCGACACTGCGGCAAATGCTTCTGACATTAAAGCCAGACTAGACTTTCTTAGATGCATGCGTGGGAACTGAGGTCGCCGGTGGTCACTGTCCTTTTTCTCCGCTGTAGATTGAGCAGCGGCCTTGACCGCATCCCTCCTACGCTCATGCTTTTTCAAGTACGTCTGTGATATGGTCATTGGGATCGGTTCACCATACAGCTCGTGTCTGACTTTATAGTAGATGTCACGGATGTAAATGTCCGAGTTTAGGATAGGCGGCATTGCTGGGATGTAGGGGAGTTTCCCACAGAGCCATAGCAATGCTGCAAATACCCAGTCAATCAGGGCTACAAAGGCAATACCGAGGACAAAACTGAGTGACCCAAACACCTCTGAGACGAAGTCACCCCAGCCGTATGCTGGTCTGTTTCTGAATTCATCCATTTCATTGGACACGATAAAGATCAAGCTATGACGTTGTTCGTTGCCGAAGACGGCTGGCTTGATATTACCCATTATTTTGACCAGGATATTCAGCTGCTCGCAGCTTGGTGTACACAGGTCATTGCAATCACTGATGTTCCCTTGAAAAACTCTCCACGCCACATTACGGCTTCTGAAAAAGTCTGGAAAAGAGCAAAGTTATTAGGCAGTATTGCGCAGCAACGGGAGTGCACTGAGCTTCTGGAAAAAGTTTGTGCTCCCATATCTAAGTGTTTGAAATTAGATTAAGATATTTGGCACATATGTAAATTGCAACAATAGTTAACAGTTATCAAAAGAACAAGTCGATCTCTGCTCTCAGGCGGTCTACAACCCGAATGCTATGAAACGCCCTTCTGTTAAAATTGCGCGGCACCTCTGGGCCCATGTGTGGCGGTGGTCAGAGGGTCCTTGACTTTTAATATGCTTTTATCTGCACCTAACTTCTTCCTTAGTACGATGTTTGCTTTGAAGGTCCCCATACGGTCGCCGTTGAGATATGCCAAGAAGATTCTCTTCGTGGCTTATAAACGGTACATGTGCCCCATCCACCAGATTCAGTGCTCCGCGTGCGATGAGTTGCATTGTGGTGTGATCATGACATCTACGAGTATGCTTTCCTAGGTTAGTGCTGCTCCTAATGTGACAGAATGTCTTTATTTAACTCTCGCCCCACTGGGGGTCTAGTCATAGCCCCTCCCGTTTTTCTGCAATAACTTCCAAACCGCTTGACGTATCGACGCTAAACTTTCAGCACCTTCGGCTGCATCAATTTGACACCTTGTGCCAAAATATGAACTTCGTAGCTACCATAGGTCGGCCGGAAGTGACGTCAGAGTGACGTCATGTTCGGCCGATTTCGACGCAAAACATTGAACCACGGCAACTGCTCCCAAGAGATCAGTTTTTAAACTAGATCCAATTTATTTGCATGATAGGACTTAGAATAGACTGCGCTATCAAACTGCTATCTAGGATTTTCAAGATTCTAAAAATTTTGAAAATAATATATAATAAAATTCAAAATTTATCTTTTTATCTTTTTTTCATTTGCTTTTTTACTTTTCGAAACAACCGTAATATATGTGATAGAACACAGGCTTATGACTTACTCTAGCAAGTTTTAGCCAAATGTCTTCAAAATGGCCAAGTTATATGCGTTATAGCAAAAAATTCACAATTATTAATTTTTCAAATCAATTTTCAGTACGTATTTTACATTGTACACCAATATAAATAACACCATCGTGTTCCTGAGCTGAAACTGCACCCGATAGACATCTTTTTTGTTGAAAAAAAAAACTTTTTACCTTTTTGACCTGAAAGTAACCTGACCTAAGCTAAATAAATTGAACTTAAAATGACCTCCAATTACAAAAACGACATCGAATTATAAATCTATGGCCTAAATGGACCATAAAACATGTGTCACGTGACCGACGCATGATATATAATTTTTCTGTATATAATATTTCTGTAACCTGTGATGACCTGACCCTGACCGGAAAATCAAAGAACAAGTTGGTACCCTCAGGGTATCTAAAACATCTGTTCACGAGTGTGTAAACAAAACATGAGCCTGATCTGACTTTAAAGACGGCGGCCAGAGCCCAAAATGTGAACAAGCTAAACATCGATAATTTTTACTTTGACATGACCTGTGACGTCATCGGTGACCTCGAGGTCAATGAAATTAGGTTTCGCTCGACAACTTTTCCGAGGCTATCAGATGCCGTTTGAATTTTGACGATCGGCCCAGTAGTTTCGGAGTTAGGAGGGGGGGGGGGGCTATGAAGAGCGCCCCCCACCCCCACCCCACCCAGTAGGGCGCGTTATGCGCAGACCCCAGTGGGGCGCGGGTTAAGCTCTACTGTCAGTACATAACGATGTTCGTAGTGCATCCATTGGGCGAAAATAAGTGATTGAAAATCGCACGTTGGGATATGGCGGTCCACACCAGGAGATTGCGTGGAAAGTGGTCAACGGACTTAGCTTTCACATTTAGTGAACGCTTATTTCTCGAGGTGGTGTTCATTGTTTCCCTTTCAGGCGAACTGATTCCAGCACCCATCCGTGATTGTTTGACTCGTCCGTGCACTCAGCGTTTATCGTGATAGCTTACGAATCCAGGTTTTATTGACTCTATGCTACTTTAATAACTACTGAATGCTGGAACATGGTTTCTCTGTCTTTATCTGTACAAAATATCGTAAGTATGAGAAATAGTCGGATTTGCCAAAATTTTGGCATACTTACGGCTAAATGAATAATTATTCACCATACCAAATTTGTATTGATAGTTGCAATAGTTCAAAAGAAAGAGATGATTAAACTTCTTCCAGAAACTAAGTGCACACCCGTTATAATAAATTAGCACAGAGCAACGCTATACAAAAACCATCAGCATTTTCACGGCAAAGCTAACTAATAAACCAGTAAAACGCCTTTTGGGCGAAGAACGAGCGAGCGAGATAGTGAGCCCTGCACGTGCGGAAGGGCGAGAGGGTACTTCCAACGGGCTTGCGCAAAGCACCCTTCTAACCGGTCGCTAGCGGTGTACCAAATTTGAACGCAATCGGCCCAGCCGTTCCTGAGATCTGGAAGCGGCATTCTGCACGTGCGCACGTGCAAACGGGGTCCAAACTTGCACGGCACCCTACTATCTGGTCCCCAACCGTTTACCAAATTTGAGCGCAATCGGCCCAGCCGTCCTCGAGATCTGGAAGCGCCCCCTGCACGTGCGCACGTGCAGTGGCACCTTAACCGCAACACATGGGAATGCATTGCCTGGTGGGTGCCTACCTGTATGCCAAATTTCAGCGAAATCGCCCCAGTAATTACCGAGGTATTAAAATGGGAAATCGCAGGCCAATCGGTCCAGCGGTTGCTGAGATATAAGCCTCTCAAAAGCGTTACAGGCCGGGCCGGGCCGGGCCGGGCCGCTCATACTGAGATTTTTCCGTTATATTGAAAGACTCGCTTCGCTCGCTGCGCTCGCTCGCTCGTAATAAATAGGTAACCCTATTAATTTATTTGGAAAATTTTGAAAATTATATTTTCATTCTTCAAGCTTGATGCAAGTTTTAGGGGTAAAAAATTCAATAGTTTAAAAATTGCACCACCAAACGATATGAAAAGTTTGAAACGAAACAAAAACGAAGCAACAAAAAAAAATGTTTTGAACATGCAAATCACTTCAGTTCATCCTGATCCTGAATGAAGGTCCCAATGTCCAGGCTTTGCTTTTAAAACAAGAAAAAAGGTGAAAATTCTGCCAAATTTGATCGTTACAAAAGAGTTTTCCAGGGCGATGCATGATTGTTAGGTATGTACCAGAATAGTTTTTAGGGGGAGGCAGTCTACTCAAAAGCTTACCTTCAGATGTGTTGCAGAATGGTTTATTGATCAAACCACGTGTAGAGTTCCGGTCCATCCATGGTATCAGACAAGTAAGGTTTTGACTGGTCACCACCTTCTTAAGAATGCATGCCTCCATGCATTCTACGTGAGAGCCAGGTGAGGTACTCCTATCATAGTTCTTGCAGTCTTCCAACTGGTCATTCTTAATTGTTTTTTCGACTGCAATAGACAATGCACGGCAATAAATGAACAAGACACTGGATCAGAACAACTGGCGGGAATGAGAGGTAAGGGATTCAGTCATTCGCCGTCTAGAGTATAACTTAATTTGAAATTTGAAAATGTTGAATATAATCTAGTCACATTTTCAATGTTTGTTATTTGGCGGTATGTTTCAAGAGGCCCGTGTTGCAAGGTACCCATTTTTTGAAGATATGGTGTTGAGTGCTCTTGCGAGGAACATATTGTAATATGTTCCATATTGTAATATGTTGCCGGGGGTCCCCCTTTGCCTCCTCTAAAAAATTTCCGGTTTTAGTGGAGCGATTGTGGATTCATGGTAAGCGGGACAGTTTCAGAACTGGGTTGACAACGTGGCTCGTGCCACGGTGGCCCTAATTAAAAGCACCAAATTTTGTATCTTCTAAAGCATGACAAGAGGAATGATGTTATCTAATACAGCGGATTGGTCGAGTGATTGCCGAAATACCAGGACTCGAAAAGCGTCACGGGGCCGGCTCGGGCCTGTGACACCGACCAGGATAGGCCGTCATGAAATACTTCAGACGAAAAAGTTATGATGTATCAAATACAGCTCTCAAAATAAAACACTAACCCGCCGCGTTCGATGTCTCTCGGATGACGAAAATTCTGCGTCGTCCGGCCAATCCCGTCCAAGTTCAGCGGGGGCTCGGTTGCGGTTATGGAACGTGATTGGCCGGACGGCGTAGAATCTTCGCCGTCCGAGAGACATCGAACGCGGGGTAAATCTACGTATAAATGCATTTATGATGGAAACCAATGTGCATTGTATGTCAGACGTATGTAAAAAGTACTGCCCAAATGTACAGTTTCCTTGGAAGTACCGATGAACGGGAAAAGAGGCCACCGGTGAATCAACGACTAAAATCAGTTCGACTCTGTCCATTTCCTTACCGACATCAGGGGCGGACCCAGGGGAGGGGCTTTGGGGGCTAAAATCTCTAGCCGAAAAATATGCCGCTCTACGGAGTGACGAATCGGGGCACCGCACGCTATCAAATAACTATATCCATGAAAACATCAGAGGAAGGGAAACAGACAGATGACGTTGTCTTCAATTTTCACTATATGCGCCCCAATCTTACATTTTGCCGCCCCAAGTAGGTGAAAACATGCCGCCCCCATTCCATTGGCCCCTGACAGAATAAAATTATGGATCCGCCCCTGACCGACATCCTCAGTCCTCATCCATCCCCATCGTCAAGTGGTTCGGTGACTCAAACATAACCTTCCTCTCTCGGCCGGGCTTGATGGCACCGCCGCACCGCGTATCGGTACCTGTATCGATTCTTTAGCCTGCGCCCTGGTGGGGTCTGTTTATAACGCGACCTGGTGGGGGGGGGGGGCGGTGCTATTTTTTGCCCCCCCCCCTCATATCTCCAAAACTACTAGACGGATCCGCAACATTCAAACGGCGTTCGAAAGGACTGTCAAATTTGTTGAAAGAAACGAAATTTCATGGACCTCGGGGTCACCGATGACGTCACAGGTCAGGTCAAAGATGAAATGTTTCACCGTTCACGGGTCTTCTAGGGAATGCGCTTTAACACTGAGGAAAACGCATTTTGTCGAGAATCAGCGATAGGGCGTCAGTAACCTACTATGGACGTCAAACTCCTTGAGACCCCACTTTTTTGCGATAATTTTTAAATGCGTCAACTCTCGTCGACAATATTCTGGCAATGTGTGTTTCAGAACCTGCCGAAACTTTTATTACTAAGGTATTATGACGCCAAGCGATTATGGAAGGTACTTCTCATTCACTCGTAATGCTAAGGTCAATTCAGGCCCGGGCAGAGGCCTGCGCTCGGCCACAATCGAGCCCTGCCACCAGCGCCATCTGCTCTAAATGTCATCTACCAGCGCCCGCTACCGCTACCAGCTACCGCCCACCATCAAGCCTGAATGGAGCGAGAGACGCGAGTGACCGGTCGCCGGGCAAGGAGCGCCGGAGGGGTAGGGCGGAGCTTAGCGCTGACGTCATTACGTGGCTCCGCCCCATGAGCGCGTAGCCTCTACCCAAACAGCAGATTCGTTCCGTGAAATTTAACATTACGAGAGAATGAGAAGTACCTTTCATAATCGTTTGGCGTCAAAATACCTTAGTAGTAAAAGTTTCGGCAGGTTCTGAAACACACATTGCCAGAATATTGTCAACGAGAGTTGACGCATTTAAAAATTGTCGCAAAAAAGTGGGGTCTCAAGAGGTTTGACGTCCATAGTAGTACATATGTTGCTATTAGAGATCACTGACAATACCAGGTCAGGTCACAGGTCAGGTCACCATGGGTCAGCACATGAACCCAACTTTACTAGGGTTGTGCGATGCATGCTTTTTGGCCAATTTTTCATTTCCAACTCAATGGTGTTGGTTAGTAGACCATCAGGTACGGCTTTCGTCACTTTCTGGTGGAGGTCAGGTCAAGGTCAGGTCAAAAAAGGTCAAATTTCAAAGTTGATAGTTTTGCATAAACTGGGTATTGATTCAATGCAGCTCGTCACGGAGAGTCCAATGGTGGTCTTCGTTTTGTGCTACGGGGTCTAGAATTGGTAAGAATTGAGTTTGAAAATTTGACGTAATATATTTTGAACAGTTTTTTCGCTATAACTTGGTCAAAAAAGAGGTATCGATCTCAAATTTGGTATGTGGATAGAAGGCGGTAAGGACTATCACATATATTCCGTTTTTTAGAAATTCAAAAAACTTTTTGGATTTTCCGGCTATTATTCAAAAGAAATCTATTTTTGATTTTTAAGGCTTAAAATCCAAAAAAAAATTAACAATCCGAGATAGCAGTTTTGTAGCACTATCAATTCTACAGCTTTATTTCTCATCATTTTTCTGTATTTGCAAAGCTATAGGGCTGACAGCTCTTCCCGCGAAACCTTTTTTGGGTCCAAAACGGCAGAACATGACGTCACTCTGACGTCATTTCTGGCCAACCTATCATAGCCTTTGGAAATTTTTCGGTCACAATGTGTAAAATTGATGTCCGGGACGGTACTGAAAGTTTGGTGACGATCGGCGCGGCGGTTCTGGGGATATATCGAAAAGTCCGGAGGGGGGGGGGGGCAAAAAATAGCCCCCCCCCCCCACGCGCGGGTTAACGCTCCCTATGCTATTTCTCATTCCACCTGTGCCGCTAAATTTCGAGCAGGAGATCGATGGAGATCATTTCAGGACGGTGGTTATGCGTAATTTATGGTCAAACAGTGTCCTTTTTCGTTTCCTTGCGAATCTGTCATTGAAGACAACAAACACAATCAAAATTGATCTTTAAGCATTTCGACATCAGCGACCCTCGCAAGTACAGCCCTCAGCAGAGCGTGGTAGGTTTTCTTTTTTTCAACAAAACCTAATAACTCAAAGCTATGCTATCAGTCGGTCGGAACTCACTGTAAATAGATGCGCCATGCTCCACTCCTTCGATTAGGTCTATCACTAAACAAAGTATACGCCTTGTGTGGCAACAAAATGCAAAAGTTTGCTTTGTGGGCAAATATAAACTGTTGGGTTTTGTTGCCGACCTAGATGGAAAATGAATACGGTGATGATGCCAATCTAAGGTAAGGAGTTTAGCGCGTCTTGCTGTTACGATTTCCGAATGACTGAAAGCATAGTATTCGCGTTATTCTCGTTTTTGTCGAAAAAAGAATACCTACCACGCAGTTTGCAGAGGGCTGCACTTGCTTAACTCGCGCCCGGCTGGGGGTCCTGGATTTCCACGCCCTGCTGGGGGTGGGGTGTTTGAACACCCCCTTCTAACTTGGCTCCTGGGCCACGTAGCGATACGCGGAAGGCGGCGTTCGAAAGAGCGTCAAAAATAATGACGAAATAATTTTGCCCAATTTTTTGGTCAGGTCAAAGGTCAGGTCACCAGAGGTCATTGGAGGCAAAATTTCGCCGATTTCCAGGTCGAATATCGACAATTTCCAAGAGGCCAACGCATAACTCGGGAACCAATAGAGCTACAGCGCCACGGAAAAGCGCATTCGATAGCCCTATTAACACCCTTTCTGAATAATTCTCTCAGATTTGACCTAACGTCAACGGTTTTGCCTGCAGGGGACAAAAACTGCAAAAATAGCCGATTTTTTTTTAGTTTTTCTGCAATAACTTTTGACCCAAGCCTTGTACGAGCTTACTTTTACCGGCATCGTGTTCCCCTCGTCAAGACGCATCGAATGAACTATAACTTGACCTTGAAAGGTCAACTTGAAAATTTGACCTCAGGTCAAGGTCATGACGTGACTGGAAAGGGTCATGTTGCATATCAGTCGATCCGTATCGTCGAGCTGAACACATCTAAGGCGTTTTCATCGCTCTAGCATGCCTCTATCAAAAGTTATTTGCGAAAAACTGTTAAATACCATTCGTGACCTAAGATGACCTCGGGGGCATAAACAGGGGTCACGGACACCATTTTCATGTTCAGTGTGTATAAACCACTTGTAATTCAGTGTTTAGGAGTGTTTATAATGTTTTTCGTCCAAAAGAGGCGCATTTCAATTTTCTCCCATCGACTTATACCTAATGGGAGGTCGCAAAATTGACCTGACCTTAGGTCATCGATATCAAAATTCTGAGATATACGTTTTGTACATGCTATTGCTCTTAGCAATCGCTGAAAGTTTCAAAGCGATCGGTCTCTCGGTGTAGCTATGGCAGACATTGAAACTGTTTATGAGGTGAGGTCACTTCAAGTGACCTGGTGACCTGACCTTGAATGACCTTGGTCTGAAATTTTCACAACATGTGTAGAATTGATGTATGATAAGGTGTACCAAAAACGGCAGCGCTCCTCGCCGCCGTTTTTTAGATATTTGCGAAAAACCACAAGGGGGGTGTTCAAATACCCCCACAGCAGGGCGCGGGTTAAGGTCACAAATACAGTGGAATCTGCTTAATAAGTCCTCGGATAATAAATCCAGCCGTTTATTGTGGCCACTTCAGCTGT